CGATCCTATGGTGTGTGCAGGTACGTTTAGATGGATTACATGTACCTACTACTCCTACTCTGTTCTAGCCTGAGTAGGCTGATAATTGTAGTAGTACTAGGGAGTGTAATTACTGTACGTGATTGGATAACTATATATACAGAATTAGGGATATTACACTATCATCGACATCGACATCATATTATCATCTGCATCGTCACGTAACTACATGTACACGATACTGCTTCGACATACTAGAGTAGAGTAGATGGTTTGGCATGGCTCGTACGTGCTAAGCTTCTGAGTATGCTCTACGTATGTAGTAAGTATCTATTCTGCCTCGAGCTGGCTCCTACTCTGCCTTTCCGCCATGTGGATCAAGATCTAGATCATCTATCTATCTACATACAGCTATCGGTAGAATTATTGCGGAAACAGGGACCGACGATCACGCCGAGAGTAGGGCGATTTTCCAACGCAATAATTCTACCGATAGCTGTACATGTAAATTGCTTTTTCCACGAGCAATGTGCGAGAAACCCAACTTGTACACACCAATTGGACAGTGACGATGGGTAATTCACGCAATTACTCTAGGCTGCTGATGCTGCCAAGGATCCAATATCATGATTGTGTTTTTCATGAATCAATTGCTAGACATACGTATGTAGTACATACAGGACAAATTTCATGAAATTCGACACGAAATGACTCTACAAGTGCAATTGTAACCACCAAAAGCATCAATCATCGCCAATATCACTGTCACGTAGCAGCACTTGCTGTGTTCCTTTCTTGTTTAAACTTCACGAGCTCCAGAGATGATGGGTCATGATTTCCAAGATCATTCTCACAGATTTCCGGTGGTGGCTTTTTCCGTCATGGCCAATTGAATATTCGATATCATTCCCCATCACGACCATGCGTGTAATACTTCCCGGATCAGATCTCGTGCCCCAAAACTCTACGTAAACGAGCCAAAGTGAAAGAAAAAACAAAAAAAAGAGAAACAGAAACAATTCCCAGCCCAGAGAGAGATCTTAGTAGTCCCGTTAAGCCTCTCTCTTTCTTCCAACTCCCGGGTTTAATTCTTCGTCTAATTTAACTAGTGCTATCTGCAGATAATCCCGAGACCGCAGCCATAAGCCCAGAGCAAGCCACCGAATCCAAGATCACCGGCACCCACCCCCCAGCACCTGACGTACCTATCACGATACGATACGATACGATACGATACCGCTGCCATGCCACCCGCTGTAAGACCCGTGCGGATCGGATCTCACCGACTTAATTCCCCCGCAATGTACTGTTTACTGGCAGTTACTCTATCTAGCGGCGATGGCTTATTGGCAGCGGTGCCGGTAGGTTGAGATGGATGACACGTACATACGTACATTACATTACCGTACGTACCGTACCGGCCGCCGTTAACGAAAAGAAACGAGCAAATCTACTCTATCGGACGGATTGGGCTGCCTACCCGTGGGTTTTACTTGCTACGGTGCCGACTTGATCAGACTTGCCTATCTAGAATCGTGCCGCCATCTCCACATACCGAGTGCTCTTTCTGAGAGGGTAGACTTCCGAGATGGATGGATGGATGGATGGATGGGTTGGGACGCTCGCTGGTTGCTATTAAGCCTCCCCACCACCATCCACAATCCACCATCCACACACACACCGGCAGTCCGATGGCTACGCCTTGTCTGCGCTCTGCGAGCCCGCATCCTCTCCCTAGTAACCTCTCTCCATGTAGTAACCTACTCTACGAGTCTACCGTCTAGTGAGCCTTGACCCTACCTGCCACACCCATGTCCGTGCATGCATGTGTGCGGTAGGGCTGAATTACAGTGCGGACTCTAACATTCACAAACCATGCCCAAAGTGGTAGAGAGAGAGACCACTTCAGCCTTGGAAGCACCCGGTGCATATGTGTATGCACGGTGGTTGGGGGCGAGCTGATTCTATTCGAGTGATCGAGTGCTTGAGTGCTCTTGTCTAGAGTCGAGAGCAGTAGAGTGGGTATGTAGAGTGAAGTAAGTGGACTAAGAAAGCCAAGATGCAGGGAGCTCAGCTGAGCGTCATAGGCATAGGGCTGAAGGATTAATCAATGGAGGGATCGGATGGGGGTTACCGTTTATCTGCTCGGTTAGCTGGCAAACTATCTAGTGAGATTTAGTTGGGTCGGAAATTGGACTGGTATGGCGCTGGTTGGCTGGTACATGGTGCGGTTGGTGCGGTGCTGCCTAGAGTAGAGTAGCTACGGTGCGGTGCGGTGGATTGTGGTTGGTGATATCATAGATCTAGTGAGGGATGGGATCGTGACAGGATGGGGAGGATGCCATGGCATGGGGTCCGTGTAATTCCATATGTGGAGTGGGTTCTGTGCTTCTACATCTAACTCGAGGCTTGTATAGTGGGATCGGGGTGAGGCGAGGTTACTACGCTATCTTTACTTGCAGTGTCTTGGATTTGAGTATCTATCGAGAATGAGACGTTCATACTAATCGTTATCGATATCGTGATCATGATCAATTCTGCCTTTAATCCGCAGCATCAATCATTTTCGGGATCTCTCAATAAAACAAACCAGTAGAGAAGAGTAGAATAAACCAAAACCCGTCGCCGACCCCACGGTCACCAACCACCTGCCCTCTACCTAGATGCCCATCCCATCCCCTTACCTACGTTTTCTCAGCTACACCTCAGCCGTAGATCCCCACCTCCGAGACAAGAAAACCGGAAATGAAAAATCCTAGTTCTAGGCCCATGCAAACTACTTCTTTCTACCTAACCCACCTACATCTAATTACTAGCTTGTGGAATTTCGAATTCTACAAATGATGCAGATACAGTTATGTAAACCCGCCCACTAGCTCGCTACTTGACCGGACCGGACTGGCTCTTCGGTGTATCACTGGCTCTTTCGGCGCACACACTACCTAGCCTCCCTAGCCCCTTTGAATTCTTGCTAGCTAGCTAGCTATGGGATCCCCGTTAGATTACGTCCTGTAATTACATTTCCTCACCTATGACATTCGCGAGAATAGAAAAGAAAAATCCGGTGGCCGGCCATGTAAACTATCTTTTGTTCGGCGTGGCAGCTGAACTGTCTGCGCGTTTCAAGTAGTTAGTTGTGATTTCAATGTTGGGATTGCAAAACGGAAGTATTCCCGGTGGGCTGAACGTGAACGTTTCGGCCGATTTTATTGTATCTGCTAGGTAGGAGGTGGGGGAGAGAGGTCGGGGGGGGGAGGGGCGCTTGTAGTTGAGGTAGTGGGATAGGTAGCGTAGGTAGTAGAATATGATATGATGTCGGTGTATATCTGTATTCTAGTATGAGGAGATTACACTACTAGGGGGAACACGGTAGTTACTTGGGTTGGCTGGATGATCGTGGCCGGTAATTAATCTTTGCAGATGTGGCTCTGATATTGCCATCGTCGACGTTGTGGATATTGACTTTTGTTCTCGGTATATCTGATTATTGGGTTGATTGGATGGTTGAATTCGGCATATTGAGGGCCTGTGGGTTCATCGCTCTCTGTGTATGTGGCTAGGTAGTAGTTGTTTCTCTGTTATCTATTAGCCAATTGGCCGATTAGGTGGTGGTGCTGGGGACAGCACTAGCCACTAGCTAGTGCTAGCTGAGATGTTTAATTAGCATTAGGCTGGCAGCCAGTAATTGATTGAGAAATTGGTTCTTTCCTTTGATCCAAGTGTTTGTGGTTTGAGTGAAACATAGTCTTTGACAGAGACTTTGGCGATATCCGGCTGGGGCATCCTGGGGCATCTGGGATTTGATATCTGTGTCTTTGACCGAATCCAAGCGTAGTTTACTGATAAGTGTGGTGTTGTAGTGTTGTTGATATGGTTATCCGTCAAGTGTTGCCAAGCTAGCTTAATAGAAACCGAAGCTTGGCCTGTCAGTGTGGGGTTAATCAACTGAACGGGCCAAGCACTACATCTGGTACGTAGAGAAGCTTATTAAATGTAGTTTGTCGGCCACTGGTGCGGTTAATGTTCAAGTGTAACGTCCCTTCAACTCGTGTTGTAACGTGGTGTAGTGCCCTAGCTAAAGCGTTGCCCTAGGCGCACATATGGCTTTTTGTTGAGGAGTATAATTTCTTGTTCTTTTTTAACTCTGGGTTAATCATGGTGGTTTCCTTAACTATCCTTGGGGAAAACTATAACGAGATATTAATGCTGTTTCTTGGCAACTCTATTGTGTAGTGTGTTCATATGTTTCGGCATCGGAGGGGTTTCTTTGATACTCACGGCTGTGTGCATTCATAGATTATCACTCGGCTTATACCAGAAGCACTCGCACTAGTAATGATGTGGCTGTCTTTTCTTATCTTCAACCCAACTGACACTCAAGCCGCCTCATAGAAAAAAGCTTTTTGAAACGCCTGTTATGAAGGCTTTCAGGAGTGTAGAGTATGTAGTAGACAGAATTGACACCTGGGCCCTTGACTTTCCCTTCTTGTAAGTATTGGATTTATGATTTTATCAACTACATGTACATAGATAATACGTACGCGTGCCTTAAAGGGATAGACCAGGCTAGCGTGTCGAGAGGCTACACCGGAGACTGCGTACCTTCGAAACAATTAGTGCCTTGAACGTACAAACCCACTTTTGACATGAGATGTCTACTAAAGAACACCATTCTGTGGATTCTCTAGTTAGCTTCATTACATGTATCAAACTCCAGGACGTCGCTTGATATTAGCGATTACTTCATCTTCATCGCTGGAGAGGACATTTACCGTGATAGCTGTGTCTTGAGCTAGTCCCTCGGCTCGAGGCCAGTCAGAAACCTAAGGATTATCTTAGAAACCTGTATCGTTGTGGTGTTGTACTCCGAATGATATCTCGTGGTTGAGGCTCAACCCCCACCACCACCGTGCCACCCCCGCCAAACGCATCTTGCGACGTTCAAATCCGCGATTTTTTTTGTTTTTGTTTTTTTTGTTTAATTCATTAATTGCATTTCAAATCCGCGATTGATTGCCACCATGATCTCAAGACTCCCCCGACAACTGCGGAAACTCCCCAGGGTCTTCTGCCCGCCCCCCTCTTCTATCAGGATCAGCGGGCATAGGCTTTTCTCCTCCGGGACCAGCACCACCCCCGCCGACGCAGCCTCTTCACAACCCCCGCCGACAGCTCCCAAGCAGACGCCCCCCCTCCGCCTTATCCGTGACGCCGCCGACTACCACACCGCAAACTGCATCAACAGGAACTACCCCAGCCTCTCCGCAAACCCCGCACGCATCGTCGCCCTTCACTCCGAACTCACCGCGCTCGAAAACAGCGCACGCTCTGCCCGCGAGGAAAAGAATGCCGTCCTCTCTAGCATCAAATCGTATGCCCAAAAGCACCACGCCCCGCCCCGGCGGATCTTCACGCCTCTGCAAAACACCTCAAGGACCACATCGCAACCCTAACCGAGTCCGAATCGCGGCTGCAAGAGGAATTGCGCTCCTTAGCACTCGCCCTGCCCAACCGCACACACGCCGAGACCCCCGTCGGCGCCGAACCACGCCTTCTGGGCTACATCAATGAGGGTCTCGCCAACACCACCGACTGGGCGGCCAAAAAGTCACATACCGACATCGGCGCCGAATTGGGCCTCCTCGACTTTGCCTCCGCCTCAACTGTCAGCGGGTGGGGATGGTACTACCTCCTCGACGACCTCGTCCTCCTCGAGCAGGCGCTCATCAACTACGCGCTCACCACCGCACGCGCGTCCGGCTGGCGCCTTGTTTCACCCCCCAGCATCGTATACTCGCACATCGCCTCCGCCGCGGGCTTCCGGCCACGCGACGCGAACGGCGAGCAGCAGGTGTATGCCCTCGAGACGGCCGACGGCAAGATCCCGCATTCACTCGCAGGCACCGCTGAGATCCCGCTGGCGGGGTTGGGTGCGGGCCGAGTATTTGAGGCCGCCGAACTCCCGCTAAAGGTCGTTGGCGCAGGGCGTGCTTATCGTGCGGAGGCGGGCGCCCGGGGCGTGGAGAGTAAGGGCCTATACCGCGTTCACGAGTTCACAAAGGTGGAGCTGTTCGCATGGGCGCCTGCCGACGATGCGGCGGTTAACGACCAGGGCGGCAATGTCGTCCCCGCCCCGGACTCGGCAGCGGAGCGGGTGTTTAAGGAGATGCTGGTGTTCCAGAAGAACCTCATTTCGAGCCTAGGTCTGTATGCGCGGGTGCTCGAGATGCCGACCCAGGACCTGGGCGCGAGTGCGTGCCGCAAGATCGATATCGAGGTGTACATGCCCTCGCGGTTGGGCAAAGATCCGTGGGGCGAGGTGTCCAGTCTGAGTAACTGCACAGACTATCAGGCGCGCAGATTAGATACCCGGGTCAAGGACTCCAGTGGGGGAAGAGGGTTTGTGTGGACGCTGAATGGGACGGCGGTGGCGGTACCGAGGATGCTGATTGCGCTGTTGGAGTATGGGTATGAGGAGGGGGTGGGGGTGAGGGTGCCGGAGGTGTTGCGGCCGTTTATGGGGGGCGTGGACGTTATTAGGCGGCGGTAGTGAGGGCGCGGGGATTTGTATATAGGATATTTTTTATAGATGGTTGTGGGACTTCAAAAGTGTTTTGAATGTGCTGTTGTGATATAGGAAATGATTGACTTGGGGCTCTGGTAAGTGGCATGGAAGGTTAGGAGAGTGGGACTATAGCTAGATAGCTAGCTGTCCATAATATAACCCGGACCGTCTCATCTCTCTCTAGATCTAAAACATCCCGGGCAGTAAGAGACACAGAAATAATATAGAACGATCGTGAACATACCGTTACTGCCTCATCACCATATATACCTCCCTACATGTAGTTCTCCTGCACGAACCAAGCGGGGCGGCACACGGAGATAAACCAATCGAGTGACCGCATGTGACCGATCCCGCGACTGCTTTCATGAATGATCACTCGATCACTCGATTTTGATTTCTGTTGGAATTGCGATGCGAGCCTAGGAGCAATGTCCTAATACTCATGTGTCAGTATATATGTTAATATGTAGTCATATAAAGACTGTTCTAGGCACAATATTTTTGTATAAATAAGGGCTTGATATGCCCCCTGTATTATAGTTAAGCAAGTCAAGCAAGAAAGTCTTTCGCATTTATTATTATTCACTATTATTTATTTCAAACAATTTCTCATTTCTAGGGGGGAGTGGGATAGTAGTAGCTGTAGGTGGTGTCGCGGTATACATCGTGGCGGCGTTTTTGGTTCTAATACTGTTGTGATGGGTGGGACTGGACCATGGGTTTGAAGTGGTAATGGGACTGATGACTAAATTTAAGTGCTTCCTTGGTTATTCAGGGGAGTAAGTCTAGGTAAGTAAAGGTTCGTTTTCGTCTAGAGGTACATGTAGTATATTAGTATAATGGAGAAGGTGGAGAGGGGGCGTTTAAACCACTTAGCTGGATGACCTAGGGACATATGACCCCATCCACCCCTTCTCACGCGGCCAAGTATTGCGCTGTACGCTTTTATGTGAGAGGCAGGTAGGTATGCTACCTGTCAACCTTACTCCTCTACAAGTGATCGAGACGTAGTTGGTGTGATTATCAGAATACACCCCGACACCCCTATCAGCGTGCTCCCAGTCTGCCTATCTAGGGAATGCACGGTTTCGAGTGATATCTTGTGATTAATATTATTCCCTTTTCTTTTTTTTTTTTTTGTTTAATTCATTGATTGCATAATATTATTCCCTCAACCCAACATATTTATCCGACACTGCAGAATTTCCAGCCTGTACTACTGGTAACTGTTCTGTAAAAACCGAAGGCAAACATAAGGGAGGCGGGTGTAAGGGGATAAATAGATACTGCTAGCTGCTGCCGAGATGGGACGAGTGATGGCTTATGATTGACTGATCCTGCTTAGATGGAGGACAGGGGGTGATGGCTACCCTATGTTAAATCTTTGAATTACTGAAGATTGTACATTGGTCTGAATGGGGATTATACCATTTATCTCCCAGGGCCCCTCTGCAAGCTGCACACAGCCCCTTCAATGCACAGCCAGTCGATTTCTCTTCACCCTCCAAGACAGAAGACGTCTTCAGGTGTATCTCCCGAGACCATGTGTAAAAAAGAACACCCGGCCCTTGCTTGAACAACACTCACTTACCCACCAGAAACCCGTACCCGCTGTCCATGTTGTGTCTCGCAGCAGCAGTCAACAAATTTAGTATATCATCACTCGGTCCAAGGCACTACTCAAAACGCCCTGTTTTACTCGGTAAGCTGACCTACTTTAAGTAAAAAACATCTCTAGTCAGCTGGCTTGTCCCCTCGTCTTGGGGGTCGCGTAACACGGAAACTAGGATGAGATGACTCTTACCAGGCGGACCCTATACGACTAAGGAGGCGGGAAGGGTAGAGGGGGTATGTAGGTAAGAATCAGGCATGGACGAGTATTATTACGGCTATAAAGCACAGTGGTGAACGCTTCCTTGGATCGCAGGTCTACATACCCGGCTCTATTGGACTTTTGGACTGGCTTTATCTATAGCTAATCAGCCCTGATTATGACGAGGGACGTAGAGTCATCTCTAGCTAGCCCTAGATCAGGTACTACGAGGAGTTGTAACCTTAACTCCATGGTCAGTGGCATAGCCTTGCGTCGAACTTAATCAGTAGTTTTGAGAGAGTTAGGCTTCATATAAGTAAATCCAAGTAAGGCTATAATCTCGCCGCATCATTGCATTAAAAGAAGAAAAAACTGGACTACTACCTTGTAATACCGCGAAAGATGGAAATGGGGATGGTTAGGGAGCGTAGGTTTCTGTATAGCGAAGATGAAATGGACTTGATTGACAAAAGGAGTGGTCCCTCTTTCCTATATTGCTAGCTAGCGCATTCTTGTCCTCTTCTTAGAGTCCCGTTGTCTACAGGGTACTCTAGTTGGTTACATGTCCTTAACAGACCCTAACCCTTGTGTGTACGTACATGCATGTCTACAGTACTTGAGCTGGCCTACAGGAGGGGTAATGATCGTTTTGTCAACAACTACCAGCGGCGTCTAATCTAGGTGGATAAGCCAACGCTAGATCCGAAACAGACCGAAATATCAATAAAAGTGAAAATGAAAATGCATCCACTTCCACAAACTCATGGCTTAAGCGCTCAAAGCCGATATGACTGCCATGAACTCTGACCCGAGGGTAGTTAGTGACAAAGGCGATATTACTCGACTAGTCTGAATGCCATGGAGTCTGACTCAAGACCACACACTCATGGCTATTCAAGAATCTATGATTTCGTTTTTTTATTCCCCACACAAGAAGCCCCTAAACAATACCTAATCACAAACAATCACCCGGAGCGTCGTGATGGAGGGGTAAGTTAAACTAACGTTCGTTCAGCTGGCGCAAAATTCCAAATATAGCATAGGTAACAGTAGCGAATTATGGTAGGTGCTTAGTAGTTGGGTGGCGGTGGCGCCCGCCAGCAGTGGGATTTTTTTTTCTTTCAAATCGGGTTAGTGATCAATGATTTCTGCGACAAGTCAACCCAACCAACCACATGGGAAAGAAAAAATACATGTACAATATACATACATACATATATATACCCTTCCTTCCCCTTCTCACTCGCACAACAGAAATTCAGTTATCGCACCTATGCTATGATAGGGCTGACGACGTGCCCGGCCATGTGATATGGTCCAACAACAACCGCAGCTGGGGAAAGGTGTAACGAACAATAATTATATCGCCCTTCCGCCGGCCAGTGCAACTCCTCTCGAGCCCTCCTTAGGCCTGGTGGTGGTGGTGGTGGTGGTGGTGGTGGTGGTGGTTGTCTGACTTCGCACCTCGTCGTCGGATTTCATGAAATAGCCCCTCCTCCCGCTTGAATGATCTAGCCGCGGGAGACTTAGCCGTATATACCGATAATCATATGCATCTACTTTTCTCTATATCTCTGAGGAAATGGCCGGCTCATATCACATATCACTTCTTCTTTGTTTATACATACATACGTACGCGGCTTGGGCAACATCTCACTTCCAGGGCCGATATGATCCCGTACGACGATCTACATGTGAAATGCGTGAATACAGAACCTTGGGGCTATCAATATACAACTTGGGCAATGTTTATCACTTGCTAGTTCTCGGCAATCCTATCGGGCACCAGGTGGACGTCCATCTCCCTTCTGTCTGCGTCAACTGTTGATGAAGCTGTTAAGAATATTAGTCCATACAACATATAATTGGCAAAGAACGTATGTATTGCTAACGTCGCCTCGTGGTTTATTTAACTCAGGGTGCTCAAACAGGGACCCACCCATCCCCAATAAAATAAAAGCCGCGCATTCCTTTAAAATATTTACAATGAAAAGATCGTGATAAAACGTGTGTTTGAATGCCTGTTACCCCCTCCTCCACCAATTCAAATCTTTTATAGAAGCCAAGCAAAACAAAGAGAGAAACAACAATACTCGTTGTACACAATACTCAAATATATATTATAGTCGGCTCTCTTTATAGGGTTTGATTGGGACCGGAGAATCGTATCTTTACAGGGGAGGAAGTCCTGCGGTGGGGGGAGGGGAACCGGGACCAACAAATCTCGCCCTTCTGATGGTTGATCCCTTTTAGGGAAAAAATCGTTAATATAGAGAGCCGACTATAAGATTACTCCCCTCTATCATATAAAAAGTGCCTATGGCTAGGTCCTCCCATATATACCTCGAAATTTGGATCAAAAGTCAACATCTGCTGATACACATCCCAATCAATTTGATGCGGCATCGGTGATTGTTGGTCTGGAATGGATCCCTGTGGATTTTCCTCAACGGCAGTCGGTAAACCTCCGCCTCCCATACCCGGGTCCACGAATATCAGGCCAGAATGCGTCTGGTGATGTTCCTGTGATTGTGGTTGTGGAAGTGGGTGTGGAAGTGGATGTGGGTGTTGTAGTGGAGGAGGCTGGGTTACAGGTTGACTTGAGTGCAGCAGTTGCTGGTACGTTGGGACGAGAGAGATATTGGTGGTCGGTATCCAGCGGGGTGTGTTACCTTGGAGGGCATGATATCCGCAGTATACAGCATTATTGTACTGTGGAGTCGCGATGGCGCTGCTGGATTCAACATTATCCCACGGGCCTTTTGGTGTTGATACACCATGAATCTCTTCGGCTTTTTCGTCGATGGTATCTTCGCTTGCTTCCGGGATTGGGTGAGAAAGCTCTCCCGTGACTCCAGTTTGGTAGCCGAACATTTTTGCGAAGTTTTGGAACAATTCCAGCAATTTTTGACCCAGAGAGTGGCTTCTTGCAGCACTCTTCAATGCTCTTGCACAAACGCCTACTTCATCAGCGGTAACATCAAGTAGAGAGCGGTCATTGCAGTAATGACCAAGAAGCAGAACTGTCGCTGCACGGAACGTATGAATAAGGACGAGTTCATCAGTTCGGAGACCAAAAATACGATCAAACTCGGGGTTTTTGATCACTCGAGATAATATATGAGCTGTAATTTTGGCAACCTGAATTGACTGAGCGAGACAGAAAGTCCGAAACTCACGAAGAAGGGAAGGGGTGCCCGTAAAGTCGGTAAAATAGCGGTAAAGAATGATACGTGAGTGTTGAAGATGAAATAATGCTGTCAGAATTTAGCCATTGGTTTCTATATTCGTGGGAGATCATGACGGGACTTATACGTCTTACTGCAGGGAGGTCGAGAACATCTGATCTCCTCAGATCTGTCATTTCCGCTGGAAAAACCTCCCACGCCTTCTTCAACATTTCGTCTATGTTCTGCAAATGTTTGACATCCTCCTCACCGCCATTTTGCTTCAATTCAATATTCAACAAATTTTCACTGGCCTTAGCGATATAGATTGTTGCTTTAAACACCTGCAAGGATGTTTCCGTTTCTTCGTCGTTGAAATCGTCTTGACGATCTATCATATTGGTTACTCCAGGGGATCTTGATGGGCCTTGATTGTCTTGGCCGCCTTGAGTGCCTTGGTTATCGTCCCCCCGGTTACTCTCTCCTCCCTTGTTACCAGAAAGTCCCGGAAGACCGACATCGATATGTTGATCGAGAAATATTACGGGTCGGCCAAGTTTCATCGAAATCTTCCGGTCTTGGATATATGCAACCCAGAAAAGACGAGTCCGACATTCAATTTCAACGTCATTATAGAGCCCACTTGGAGTACGGCGATAAATGCCAATATCCTGACACACACGAGCCATAGCACCTGTTATCATCCAGCAAGGGGATGGAAGAAAGGCTTTATCGAGGTAGAAAGCCATGAGTAAGAGATCTGTTGTTTAAATACCTGTTAGGAGGTTTTCAGGGTGGCCAGTATAGAAAAAGAAATAAAAAAGGGATTGGGGGGGGGGGGTTACATATGGCGTCGTCGATGGTGTAATCGGGATTGTTCAGATTCGAATATTTTCGTCCAAATTCAAAGAACATCCATCCGTTCCTACCATCTACCATTAGCTGACAATATAGGTAACATATCATTACCATGAAACCTACATACCTTTCCTGCACATGTGCCCAATCTCCACCCTCCGGCTCGTCTAGCTCTCCAGGTTCGATAAATTGATTTGCTACCGCTAGCAACATCATAATCACACAAAAAACACTTCTCACCGCCTCATTATCCCCATCCCATATGGGAAGTTTCCATGCCCTCTCAATCTTTTTTTCCAAAGCTGGCCAATAAAATATCGGCGTGTAATTCTGCACCGTTGTCCGAAATACCTCAAACATCTGCTTTGCCAATTTAAGTGGAGGAAGTAGGGCTCGTAAGTCGAAGGGAAGATATTTATTCGGTACCGACGGGTTTGGTATCCGTGTATTCGGATTTGGGGATGGCGGCCCCCCTGTATTCATCGTGGGATTTGACGCCGGGGGCGGCCTGTAACCAAGACGAGAAAGATAGTCATTATAGGAGTGCAGAAAGCTCGGACATGAGCTCGGACCGAAGATATGATGATCCCACGAAGTTCCATCATTTTGATACAACTCGTGTCTGCTTTGATCCTTGCGTGCCCCACAATAACCTGGTTCGCCATAGGCATCGTTCTTCGGAGAGCTGCGGGATGGTTGGCGTTCATGGGTTGATGAAGAGCCTCTGAAACGTGGACTGGTAATACTAAATTCGGAGCTTATAGGTGAATGCGGAGGCTTCTCTGTAGATCCAGCCTCACTACCAGAGAGAGCAATGTGTTGAAGTTTATTCTCGGCCTCGGCGAGTTTGCGAGTTAGCTCTTGGACCGTGCTTTCTAGAGCTCTTACACGCCTGGAAATCGATTTAAGAAGATTAACTATTTGTCCAGAAGTTACACAAAAAAAGTACAGACCTCGCAGGTCCAGCTCGCCTTCGATCCTCGCCCCCCGAGAATTTACAGACCAAGCTGGCAGACACGCACGCAGAACAAGGACCATGATCAGGAGTATCACACTGCAGAATACATCACATATCAGAATACACCTCAACAATATTTTCACAAGAATAAAGTTATCTTACCTTCGTTTTTCGAGCTCGACAAGCATCACAGGCTCTACTCCTCCTTCTTCTCTGAAATGGTCTTCTTGACCCAGCTGGCCTTCCGGTTGCTTGGACCTCTGGCAATAATGTAAGAGAATCGTCTCCTTCGAGCGGTATTAAGCTCGCGGTACCAGGATTGATTGCCGGCGGTGGTGAGGTGACGGTGCTATGTTCTGAGTGATCTGAGCCAGGAGGTTCCTGTTTAAGTCCTGGATCAATCTCCATGATGCCTACTAGGATCAGTCTCCGCAGATATTACTCAGTGGGGTAACGGTATTCCACTGAGAGAATTCGAATAGAGTGTATGGAAATACGAATAGGCAGAAGAAGAAGAAGCAAAATGCTGGAGAGAAGGCCGAGAGCTAGGATTATGAACGGTAGACGGAAGGTTAGGAGGGGGTCTATCGATCTGTACGACTGTATAAAACTGTCCTCTGATTGTTGGTGTTAAGATTAAGTTCCTGGCTACCTATTTTTGCGGGGTTATTTTGTCCGCCTTCCACACGTGTCGAGAAAAGAAAATAGCTGGTTATCGTGGTTTTTTGCTGCTTTGCTAAGAGCCACAGTGAAGCATGCCCGACGTCATAGCAGTGTGGCGGGAACACCATCATGACGCACACCATTTCCTAGTTGGACCCACCGAAGTTGAAACCCAAATTCTCAACCTCAAACTCAGAACTGCTAGGGAGAAAAGCTTATGTGCATACCACCAAAATCCGATATGCAAGCTTGCAGGAGACGTCATGCAAAATGAACTTATGCACATAAATACCCTGAAGAGTGATCTCCAGCACTTGAGGTAATCCGGACACGCTTGCCAAGCGTAGAAGAGAGCAACGTCAATCTAATAATCCTTGCTGAATATGTTTAAATGCTGCCCCATGATATCATAGCTGTGGCGTAATGTCTAACATCGAGCTAAATCCAAGATTCGATCAAAGGATTGGGAGATCTGTTATTCAGTCCAGATTTCCTATGTTTTTTGGCGCATGTTTCGTTGAGAACTTAAGAGGTCAGGTAAGTATTCGAGTGGAAAAGAATGGAGGGGAGGGAAGGAGAGGAGAAGAGGAAGAGGAGGTAAGTGAGGGGAAACCGGTCGCAACGCTGGCAACATTTTTTTTCCTCTGGAGAGAGAGCAAATATGTAATAATTATCTAAGTACTCAATTAGAGCTGCGCTATATATAGTTCCTTCCGGTTCAATGGCGAATGCGCACTTATTTGCCTGATCAAAGACTACATGTAGATCTGTGGAAGGGTCTCACATTTGCAGGTATACAAATTGCATGCAATTGTCGAGAAAGAGCCTGTTTATGTAATTTTCAATAGTGGCATAATGAACAAGTAGATAAAACAAGCAGAACCGACCATGGCTATCAGTTACATATATATAAATTGTACATGTATGTAGTTAATTCAGGGCAACATTTTGATAAAAATAAATTGTAGTAGACAAAGAATAACCAATTGAAAATATAAGAAAAGTTTCTGATTCCATACGGATACGACAGCACGATCGATCTTACATGACTTATATACTCGGTTGGGTTGTAATTGGTCGTTTGCCGTTTGTCTTTGAATAAAGCTGTAGGTACTAGCGATAATATAAAGTCTGTCCGCTTTGGTACATGTGTGGACAAGAAAGTTTGGTGTCCTACCTACGTACCAAAGGGGACAGACTTTATATTCCCAGTAGTACATGTATATACAGTCACTTCTGTGGTCATGATGAAGCTAGTTCAATAGCGAATAACGAATTGCCAGTAGGTTTTCAAATATTACTCACGCTAGTGATACCAATTGAGTTCGAGCACACCTATCCACCACTCACTTTTCGCTGAAAACCAGCCCTCGCCCTAGGTCTATCCCCTAACCGCCTGTGTAGACGAGTTTCAAGAGCTCTGGACTCATACCCAAAACTTTGATGCAGTTTTCTCGGCGAAAATTGTAATATATTAACAAAATGGCGTTTCATTAGAAACGAAACACGCCTGTCATGCCTATCATCCTATGTTATTAATATATAATTATATAAATTATCTCATGCTGTGAGAATATAGAGATCATACCTACTTATAATCAACACTATGTAACAGTAACTGTGGTAAGCTTTGGAGATATCGGTATCAGGCCTATAACGATGCATTATAAATAGATAGGCCAGATCACTCCTAGGAAGAGAAAGATACTGCCACCACGAGTCGTAGTCGAAATTTTTCACCAACAAGGTTATGGGGCGGTAAATGTGTCAAAAGTAATTTTACCACCGGTGGTGAAAATAATGCCATCGTTTATACCTTATAATGGATAAAAGCACAGAACTTTTGGCCAAAAGAGGCTATATAATGCCAATGTATGAGTCCTATTGTCCACCGGTGGTGAATTTCACCATTGGTGACAGGTATGTTACCACCAGTGGCAGGTATTTCACCACCGGTGGGAAGTTTTCATAGGTGTTGGCATTAATGATTGAACATCTACTAATGAAGTATATCGCAGCATAAAGATTGAAATTCAGTTTATACTGGCACAAGGACTGAAATTCAGTACTTATACCACCGGTGGTAAATAACCTATCAACCGTTGGTAAAATCACTTTTGACACATTTACCGCTCCATACAAGGTAACTGAACCGCGATTCTTCTGGTATTTCATCAGATTGGAAGTTTAGATTCTGCAACTGGAGCGATAACCATACGACTCTGAAACTTATCATCAGCTAAAAGGCCACTACTTCTCTAACTCTGTAAAGATATCAGTTTCAACGCTCATCTACAGCTGTTTCCGCAGCTCCATTCATACTTGTCTCTATAATCTTAACAAACTCATATTCTTGCTGTGCATTCGACCATTCCTGATACAACCTTATCCGCCCCTCTCCGCTGTGAACATTTGAAATGACGGCTACAGTACCAGGGCGGATAAAGAGCCAATAAACCAAAAGACAGGATGAAAGTTTTGCGAAAAATAATGATAGATAAGTGGGTCGTTGCTGGACGGTTTTGGCGACCAGGGCGAATATGGTTTTGAGGATTACATATGCCTGTATGAGCGGTGAGGCCTCGAGCTCCATTATAGTATATTAGTATAAATACTGAGGTACTATCCCTTCCCAATACTACGATTTAATAGTATCTAGTGAATTTAAGAGGTATTTATAAGTGTGCGTATTACTTTCGAGTTCTTAGATGCGCCTATATAGACGGTACTTCCTGAGATCAGTGTTTTTCAAGTGCGCCCAATTACTTTCGAGCGTCCCCACACAACGTACCCCTGGCACTATCTACTCCAATAGAGTGTTTTGAAAAGAAGACGCGGATCATGAAGAAAAAAGTGCAAGATGTACATATTCTGTTGAAAGACGTTGAAAAGGGAAATGTTAGACTTCCCTTTCAGGATAAGATGTGGCGTGGGATCTTCAAGATTAAGGTTTGCTAGCGTTCCCGAGCCACGAACCGATCTACAGATTCGCAAGGTACGTAACCATACTAGGAGGTACGTGTAGCCTTTGCTGAGTACATGCATGGGTGATAAATTACACACCACTACATTGCTAGTAGTGTACTTGAAGTATCATGCATGCTCTATCCCTCGAGTTACAAACACCCGAGAGAGCTAAAACGTCCTGGTTCACTAGAGCTACATGTACCTTTCCTCTTCTCTCCACCCAGACATGTCCTTGTTGGGCTTTGCTCTAAAAGGACTAGGACAAAAAGACAACAAAATAAGATCAGCCTTTAGCCAAGATAATGTACGTACTCCCCCAGAGATCGATTGAATCTATCCTATCTTATACGTTCGAAAGTTTTTGAATACATGACAGGGAGAGATCGGCCAATCGTCATGAGATACTTGAATAATTCGCTTCGCCTCTACCGCTTTCCAGACAGATTTGTCCCTCAACTAACTTTACTACAGATATGACGGAAGATTGGTGTCCTCCCCTTGGAACGAGACTACACGTTATAATTGAATAAAAAGTTTATCGAGGAAACGCGTGTGCAGTTACATGCATAACAAATACATGTAGTGGAGAAAACAAAAAATAATAATGGAAACACAATCTCAAAGATTGATGTTGTTTGTTTCGAAAAGAAGGAGGGAAGAAAAGCCCATCAAACCCAGCCTCCGAATCTTATACGTTTGTCGACAATGCATACATATACGTATACAGCTGCTACGAAATGGTAGTAGCTACATGTAAGTAGGGCATGCATATTTCGCATCTACACCCATACCCAATATATCAATACCTCCCAGATCTGCAGAATCACCCATCTAGACAGAACAAATTTCACTTACCACATTGCAGTGTACAGATACAGGTTTCCCCATAAGGACAATTTCTAATACAATCGTTCGTACATCCACACTTGCACTCGTATTTCGGGTCTAAACAATTCTCAATACTCGAGTTTTCCTGAGTACGGATAGAAATACTCACCGCAGTTCTTGGGACAATTGCAATTTCCTCCTTTGGAACACTCGATAAGACAGTCGTTAAAACATCCGCACGAAGGAAGGTATATGCCATCTCGTGAAACAAGCCCACTGGCACCGGTAATATCCACGGGTGTCCCGACGCAGAGGCCGATGAACATGGCGACGATGAATAGGGTCGGTTTCTTGGAATACATCTTTGGAGTACGGATAACTTAAAGTCCACAAGAAAATGAGCTCCTGTTGAGAGTATTCGATCTAGGGGGTAGAGTTTGAGCAGCACGCGGTTTTCTACGCTCTTTATAGTACGAATATCATTATTAATAGTTATATTGGCACCTTTCGGTAGCTATCCCCTTGGCCCGGTGAGACATGCAGGCCAAGGGATATATAGTAAACACACACGGTAGTCTTTATCGAAAAAATGATACGAACTCATCATATACTAAAACGGAATACGAAGCATCTTCGTATTGCTGGAGCTCTTGGAATGTCTTAGAGTCGGGAGACATTTTTCCTACGCCGGCATGTGTGGCCTCTCTTATAAACCACTCCAAGAAACATCTTATACACCGCTTCCGTTGAGGCCTTGTTTCTGGATAAATAATTGGCGATCGTCGCATGTGTACTACAGCTTGGCCACCGGCAGTTATTCCTTCCAATCACAGCAAGAGCAAGAGCCCAGCCTTACACAACTATAGCCACGTTCTGTTCGTATTTAGTTAAATACTAAACAATCAGATAAGTACTATTGGATGACACATCAACATCGATCGAGTTCCAAGACTAACTAGACTCAAGGTTTTAACTCTACCTATTTCAGTGCCCCAGTGACATCAACATGCTGCCAAAGTATTTTTGGCATCGACTGCTGAGACATGTTCACTACTCTAAATAACTATCACGAGGGTGATGAAGGTCACTGCATAGCATAAAGTATGTACTCTAAAGCACCAGCAAAGCTACATACGCTATGTAGGTGAGGAATTCATTGATTAGGCCTAGAATTATTCCCTGTAACCAACCCGCACACCGGGCCCCCACCTTAAGGCCTCACTTATTACTTTACTCTGCTTCATCAAATCTTCCCAGGGCAGCAACTTATGGGTCACAAAAGGTCCACTTTGTGGGGAATTATCTTCCCGAGGCAGAGTCGGGTACGGGTACCCTAAGTACATACCTACTCTTATGCATATGTTATGTAGGTACTATAAAGGTACTTAAACCTGGTCGCACGATACATACCTAGCTCGCATAACTGTTTCGTCCCCGCGCGGTAAAGTACGTGACATCAACGCTAGCGCAGTTTGTCACGCATGTACATACGGTCCCAACCATCAATTTAGAGTTTTGAGGGATATTTAAGTCCGCTTTGGGGGTTGTTAATTGTGGGGCGACGTCGGGGAAACACGAGGAGGGAAAGGGGCGGGGTTGTGCAACGACCGCGGATGTGGATGATGGAGAGTAGTGGGTTTTCTGCAAGGGGGTGAGATGAGGCTGTGGGGGACATCTGTTGCAACAACTCATGTTCAAAGTTGAAAGTTGCCGATGGACAGTTGGTTCCACGAGAAGCTGTTCCAATTGCCAATTAAACTCGACTACATATGGGTACATTATACCTGTAGAGTAGTACTTAAGCATGAATTTACCCCTGAACTATGGTGTGCGGTGAACCGCCGGTGATCATCAGTTCATCGTTTAATATGAAAAAGCTCTCATAAGGCTTCATGCAGTGATGCAGTATCCATTAATGCCAGTGCAGCTAGCATCAACGTCTCGGGGAGCACCGTTTACTTTAGTTCTTGATCTACATATGTATTTACACCGGTTACTCCACATTATATTACTCTATTCTTTAAATTTTTAAATTAGCAGCAATATATTTATGATCTCGTGAGGGAAAGGTGATGATCTCCATGGTTCAATTGCAGTTAACAAGGGGCTGATTATGTAGCTAGGTATGTAAGTATATAAATTAATTGCGACATAGCCCGTTACGGGTCACCATAACCCCACATGTGGGGAAATAACGTGGAGAAAAATGACCTGGGTCAGGAATTAAGGGTGTAGACCCGATCGGTCAACTTGTGAAACGATGAAGTGTTGGGCGAGTGATTTTCCGTGATTGACTACCTCGTCCCCACAAATTTATCCGACTCATTTAAATCCGGCAACAAGTGTAACCGTTCAACCTTTCATCTGTAGCTAGGATAATGAATGAATACATGCAGTATACGATTACGCCTGTATAAGGGTTCACAACATATATATATTTGATCTACAATGAGACCGCGTGCAGCAGTATAAATGAAATAGTACAAGAAAGGGATTATAATTATCCAATATTAGAAACCGGCTAAACGACTTCCGAACCACATTTATTTAATTCTCTATTTCAAATATTAAAATTCGAGGGATCTAGGAATCAAAGAAACAGGTTACACGATCCGGAGACTTTTCGGCGCCGCTACCAGTATCGGAGGAAAGGAGAGCCAAGTTGTGAATTTAGAGGTTGAGACAGTTTCAAGAGCGTTGCCGTTTACCGAGTCTACTGTCGAATTAATCATCTACTGGTAGAGATATACGTATACATAATACTTAAGTAATTACACATGTTTGCGCGCGTACATACCTGCCCCCTCTGGTTCGGCACTAGTTTGATGCCAACATGGTGCCTGAACCTTGAAAGTATACGAAGGGGTATAAATATATGATTATATGAGACCGCAAAAGCCCGAGGTGTAACAAGTATGTGCACGCAATAGGTAATCATCGATGGTCACCGAGAGCTAGAGGCCGGCCTCCCTTGGCCCCTGGTACCTACATGTACATAATATCACAACATTCAGGAAACAATGCACAAAAAAAGCGGTTAAAAATTCAGGGGTGAGGGGGTCCCAGACCCCCCCTGATATGCCACCATGCGCACCAGCTATTTGTAAACCTGGATAGAGGATCTGTACGACTATCTAAATCTGTACGGACACATGATAATATCTGAAAATGATATATATTATATGCGCACATTATTTTCTCTGGTCGGACAATACTGGAGTTTTCAGGGTTAACGCATGCATTATACGCATCAACTACCTTACTCAGCACTAGCTAAGGCTCAGGAACAGACGGTTGGATTTGCTAACGATCAGTAAGGCTGACAGGCTCAAGGGCACGGGATTTCGTAGTCAAGGTGTAGGCCGAGTATGGTAAACTTAAGCTTTTCAAATCTTCTGCAGTAGCGACCGACAGATACGCCCATTCTATACCTAACGATACGCGTACATATAGGGCGATTACCCCTAGATCATGTTCTTAATAGTAGTATACATGTAGCCTTTACAAGGTCGTCTCTCCGATGAAGTACTTACATAATATTATAACAGTATTTAGGAGAAGTTACGTAAATACACACTGCCTATGGGTACGTAACTTCCAGCACGTGTAGTGGCAGAATGGCGCGTCAAGGGAATGCTGCCAACATGAGACAGCAGGGTTGAGGTGCATCACCATCCATCCTTCCATCCACTCATCCATCCGAGGTCTATCAATAGTGTTAATCATCCCCTTTTTCATCACCTTGGGCATGATACTGTTTTGCTCTACATGATGGTCTTTAGCACTATGAGGTTAGTCACATATAGGCACGTTGCTCATCGATCATCCGGTGAAGAAGCTCATCCTTTGTCTCTAGTTAGTGTGTGCTAGCTGACCCATCAAATGAAGGCCAATTCGAAAAACATGACTTATACAGTAGCAGGCAAACCCTCAGTGCAGGACCTTCTATCTACAAAAGGGCCCAGATCTGAAGAGGAGGAATGTCACCCATTCCCATTGAAGTGAGTGATCACTGGTGATTCACCCACCCACCTACCAGAGTACCGGTATGTGCACCTCACATGCAGCTCCACAAAATGCCATGTTCCGAGCCATTGTTTCAACCTGAACCCTAGCGCCGCCATGAGCTTAGCGACTGTCTCGTGTCCAATACCCGACCCTGCTCTACCCGGTTTTGAACTTTCTTCTCTCTGAAAAAATAACCGCGTGTTAGTTCCGGGGCCCCTCTATTGCCCTGTAAGGCCATGTCAGCTCCAACCAGGTGACTGGTCAGGGCCACCACCACCCGCAGCACCATCACCACCATCACCACCGCCACCACCGGCACCACCACAGTTAAGCGACCCACAGTAATAAGTACGTCTATTATACCTACCTCTTTGCTGTTTATGAGGGGATGTATTGGCGAATGGAAGGGTCCTGACCCGGAATCCTCCCCGGGATCACATTTTGTCTGTTAGCTAGATCCTCGATCATGGTGGTCACGTCGCCACTGCAAACGGGCGAGTGATAGCCTATGACAAGTTGCATGCCCCGGGATTTTTTCGGTTTTCGGCAAACACAAGTCCGGTAGTCCGAACTTGAAGTTCCCGCAACGCGCAGCGCAACGGTCTTCTGTCCGTTCCTCCCCTCAATTTCCGTTTCGGCTCATCTAGCCTGCCAATTGCGTGTGGTACCGATAGCGGTAATACGGAAAGCCTTATGATGTGCCGCTGCTACTGTAAAGTGCCGTCCTCTTGGGACCGGATTCGCGGAAAATCCTCATATGCCGCCTACCGCCCGCGGCCGACCGTGGCCGTGGGCGTGCATACATAATCGTCGCGTGTTCGTTGTCGAAGTGACTTTTTTCTTTTTTTTTTTGCTGTATTTTGTTTTGTAGGGGTGGATATCACATTCAAACAGCTGCTAGAGGAAAAGAAAAGACAATCGAGATAGTTATCGGCGAACACGCATTGACTAACTACCCGGTCACAACGCCCTCCGTATATAACGATGTTCAATATACACGTACCCATCATAAATTCAGTGATCATCGCCCTCTCTGTTACAGGGACTCAGGTTGACTTGTCTGATGGATGACTGGCTAAGATACTCTATACAGAAGGTAATTCCATCTAGTGGTTCGGCCGAGAACTGATGTCTCATGTACTTTGTATGCTGAGGCACCGAAAAAGCCACCCCATTGTTATCATTGCCTGGGTTGTCTAGCCATAGTTGGATATCAAATATTTCTTTTATAATCGCCGTGGTAATGGTAGA